CTTCGTAATAGGAGGAAATTAGCGATATATCCAGCAGCGTGTTAAACAGTTTCCTGGCGCCTCAACGCCAGGGACATTGACCTTCTTTCATCGGAACAGAAATAACATATAATTGTAAAAAATTAGGTCAATTGATTGTCGTTGAGGGTGAAATTGATATTTGGCCTCATTCTTTCAACTTAGAAACCGACACATAAGTCATCCCATTTACCCGATCGCAATAAAAGTCTATTGCTACACGTTTTATAAGAGCTTTATTGAGCATGTTACATGAGCAATGACGCAGAATTTTCAAAAGCACTCGCTTTGCGAGCAAAAATAAACAGAATTACATTGATACTCAAATTATTAATTATAACTTTTTAAAAAAATTGTCAGATATTTTATACGAATTGAATCACTTTTTAAAAATACTGAGAAAGTCTATATATTTTCTAGAATTCTTTATATTTATGAATTCTAAAATATTTCAAGATTTCTACGATTTTTCATCCTATAATTTTTGAAGTTTTTATTTTAAAATACAATCAGTTCTTAAAAATATTATATAAAATTTTTTTTTACTAGAGAACTATATTTATAATACCTAGAGTCACTCCCGTTTCAGTAACGTCGGGTTGAATTACTACACATTCTGGACACTCGATGGACAATTTGAGCTAACAAGTGCGATTCGTGTGCTTGTAGGTGAGCCGGTAGTTTCCATAGGGTTTCCGTTCTCCTCGTCCATCCGGCCGACTATCAGCGGTGGTGTAGTCTCCAAATCGATGGACTGTGCACTCCTGACGACCTGTTGCGTCCAGAGCGGTACCAGCGGCGGACCGATCGTCAGCCGTGCAACCGGGGACATGCTGGGAATGGTCGTATGCAACGTCCTCTCTTCGGACGGCACCATGCTCTATCCGCGGATGAGTTTGGCGGTGCCGGCTGCCATACTAAGCGGGCCCCTACGGGAATACTTGCGCACTGATAGTCAGTAAACAAATTTAAATTGACCCTGACGATCTAACGACTATACAATTTGGACGGAATGAACTGTAAGCCTTCCACGTCGCAGAGAGAGGCAAATGAAACTTGTGCACGCTCAAGCGGATTTTGTAATCTTTTCTGCAAAACACAGAGTCATGTCATGTCGTAAATAATATTGGATAAAAAGAATAGCTTTGCTGAATTAAAAATTTAGCTAGATACAGATCTGAAAATAATCTTATTTGGATATCAAAATAATTATATAAATATTCCAGAAATTTAAGCAGCTGTGATCAATCAACGGAAGTTAGTAAGAATGATTAGAAGAATATTCAAACGAGAACAAAGTGATATACTACTTAAAACGGATTCCATTTTGAATAAAAAGTATTCAAGATATTTTTATTACGTGTTCTCTATTTTATTTGATGTTTGTTTCAAAATTGGGGACTGCATCGTATATGTGTATACTGTAGGTACATTCGGGATTACAAAATCAAGAATAAATTTCGAAGTAGATTTCGTTTTTTAATTATAAATAATTTTTTAGAATTATAAATAATTCTACACATTCACGTGGTTTAGACATTTTTTTATATAAATATTTAAACATTTATGATCGAGTTTATAATTAAGAAACAAAGCCTTAATTGCAATTTTATTATTCCTGATTTCTATTTTATTTTGTCATCTAGAAAATCAGACTAGAATCACTCCTTAAATTAACTTTAAAAATTTAAAAAGTTAATTAACTTTTCCGAACGTTTTTACCGCAAATGACAGAAAATAACTGATTTATCTTGTTCTTTTGTCTTTTCTTTGCAGATCCCGAAGTGCTTCGAGCTTTCACGTGTGACGACGCGATAGTACGCAAGATTTGGGACTTCTATCCTTTCCTACCAGCCAAACTGTGAAAGGAGAGCACGAGATAAGAGCATAATTCAAGCTTTAAATCCGCTTAATTAATTGCATAATAAAGAATTAACTCTTTATTATTCGATCCGCGCTTTTTATATCGCGTCTCTGTCGTGTCACGGACAAATGTACCGAACTATTGGTATTGCTGAACGTTTGTCTCTGAACCACGTTGGACTTGCCAATTTCAGGCACGACACGTTGCGAGCTCAATCTCGCGTCGAATCTCGTTGAATAACGTACGCCATTGACCGAGTTTAATGCAAAGAGAAAGTTTTTCGTGACGTCAAATGCGGCGATCAGTGTGCAAAGCGACACGAGTCAACGATCCTTCGGTACACGGTACATAAGGACACACCTAATTTTTAATCATGATTTTTAGTCCTGATGAAAATCGGGAGGCAGGATAAGATTATCGAGAAATTAAATTGAATACGCTGAATCGTTATTCATGTTTATTTTACTTTTTTTAAAATTAGGTATAGCTATACGACGCGGTCACAATATATTGCCTTATACACTGCACTCGATACTTACAAAAAAATCACACGGTCAGACGATCGTAGGTAACATTCGTGAGGAGTGCAGGGTGACGGATAGTCGGAGATGGTAAAAAGCAATTGCAATTGACAGAGATTCATCGTGTACAACATCGTTTCACGCACACCGTTCCGTATATACAAGTTCGAACGAATTTATATGCTAGAAAATAAGTTACGTTGTATCACTATTAATTTTGCTCGCTCCTGAATTCCCTCCTTCCTCTAATGCACTAGGAAAAACGGAGGAATCTACAACCTCATGAACGCGTCTTCGAGAACGACGATAGTGGACGCTTTTATGATGCTACAATTTCATATTTCTTTTTATCTCCTATCTCTTTTCTTTTCCTGCGCGAGATGAACGTCCAGGCGAAAAACGCGGGCAGCGCAGGAACAATTAGTATCTTAAGATCTGTCACAGTTGTACGAATTTAATTACGATATGGAGATACGTAATATATTGATAAATATATATATATATATATATTATATATGTATATATTAAGATATATAAATAGTACGATCCTTTACACTAGAATTACAGATCATGTATATACATCATGGATGGAGTCTTCGTAATTATTGGAGCATTTGAAGAGTTTTTTTTCCTTAAATCTAAAAATTTCCTCCGCGCGACGTTTAACTTTAATGACTCCTATTGTCCCTTAATCGATCTAATGATTTTCGATGCAAAAGTAAGAAAATAGCGAGTGTCCGGCTTGTTGCTTGCGCATCGCTTCGCGCGCAACATGAGGACTTTCGGGCGATACGACGTCCACTTTGATGAAAAGGACGGAGAAACGATAAGCAAGTTTCAGAAGTTAAATCTAAGTGTTTTGTTCGTCTTACTAGGAATCCACGGCCGGCACACTAACCTTGCAGTTCTCAATATAAAACAACAGCATTTATCGACAGAGATGATGCTTCGCGATGATGATCAACACCGTGTGTATAGGGCATTCTAAAAGTCGCATTTATGTATTAACTACACTAATCAAAGGCATTTAGAAGTGAATTTATTTTTAATTACTATTCTATATTTACTGATTTTACGCCTAGATAAAAAATATGTTTAATCCGTAATAGGAACATATTTCTTTCGACGCTAATAAAACATATGAGTTCTTGGGGTCCATTAAGGTTTTTAATCTTATTCTTTTTAAGATTTTTTCAAATTCAAAACTATGAAATAAAAGATTTTAAAACATAAAATTTCAAATCGTTAAAAATTAGGAAAAATCCCAAGATCACTAATATGTTCCAGTTACAGATTAAAATGAAGAGAGCGCGGTAAATTAATCTCTGCGATCGGGAGGAAGTATGCGAATCCTAGAATGACCTACGTTTTTGAGATAAATGCGCAACATCGCCAAAAAATATTTTATTTTTACGTGCAGTAAAAATTTACTCGACGTTTCAAAGTCTATTTAAGTACAAAACTATTGTGAATTAATACGCTATTACTAATCATCTTTCAAGAATTTGCCCTAAGTAAAGCAAACTAAAGCTATAAACTGGAGATTCCAGATTTTGCGAGATTTCTTCCAGCGTTTCCAATCACAATTTGGGCATCGATGCCAACTATCACATGGAGACCGAAAGCATTCGTATTTTTCTCCGTTAATGTATTACGTGGCCCTAAAAATACCCAAGGGCGACTAGAATCCTTTCGTGTTCGATTCACAATCGCACGCTATCTCACTTCGAGCCCGAACTTTTTCTCGCATGAGATGTTTTTTTTTTTTTTCGAAGAAAAGTAACAAGTCCTTGTGTAGAGATCACACAAAGCTCTTAGCAAAACTGCAATTTGATCGTCAAGTAACTCGTACGCAGGCTCGTTCTAGTTTTTATAGCACACTCCGAATCGATTATGAGCGACGATTCATTGTTGGTAACCATTCGGCGGATTCGGCGTTTCTTGACTGTCTATACTATAACCGGTAATACTATCTGGGCTTTGAAGAGACGCCGCGTAGAGCGGGTTGATTGGCGTAGTGTTCGTGTCGAACTGGGTCGAGTCATAAACACTGTGATTCTGGAAAGAAAAAAAAGAACATTCCGCTTTGCATTTATTAAGGCAGGTCCCTAATCATAATCAATTAGTCAATTAATTTATTGAGACTCCTGTTTTCTCACCGCACTCCTTGGTAAAAATTTTCTCAAAATTCTTATACAAATTAGAACATTTTTCAGAAATACTGAGAAAGTATCTATTTTCAAAATTTTTCATATATGTGAAAATACTGAAAATATTCTAAGATTTCTCATTCTATAATGTTTGAAAAAAATACCTTAAACTTTTTTAGATATTTCATCAGAAATTATACACAGTAAAAAGCATTTTGTATTTGTGTTAGAAACGATCTATTGAAATGCTTGTTAAACAGTTTGAATTTTTAATATATCCATTATCAACATATATATAACGTGATTGTGTTATTTGAATATTTTGTGTTAAATTGATATTCAATATTTCTTAGTTCGGAAATGAGAAGTGTCATGATTTATTTTTTATACAAAATAAAATTCACATAATTTTTCACTTCCGATATTATTTCACACAAGTGTAATAAGAGAACAGAAGCTTTGGGAGGGAAACTATTATGAGACTATAACGATTATATTTTTGCGCAATATACGGAAGCTCGCCAAAATTCAGCCAAAAGCATTTTGAAATAATAAAATATCAAATTTCGCGTGTATAACTATTATAATATAATACATTGAAGCATTGGTGCTAACAGTGTACAATGTACGCGTAATGAAATATCATTTGAAAACGTTCACGAAATTCCATCTCTAAAAAGACAGCAGTGATATCGTTGCCAAGGGAGTGATTGCCCGAAGTTAGTGTAAATAAATGAAACCAAGTGCATTGTGACTACATTAATACGTTTAATTGCACGATATTTCTAAACATGCTCAGATATATACAGTTAGATAAAGCTCTCGAATGGTATCTTACCATACTTGTTGTAATATAAGGATTAATAATTAACAAAATTAATGTAAAACTTAGGAAGACTATCTACGATATGTACATACACAGTAAGTCGACTGTAGCGATAAATATAAATAAGCTATTTACAAAGATTCAGTTTGCGTGTAAAAATCTGAATCCGTGGAGGGATTGGGATGTGCCTCGCTCCTTTTGTGTTTCACAAATTTCGGAGACGTTATGGATAATAAATAATCACTTAAGCCACCTGGCTCTCTCTCCTTCGAATCATTCTTACTCTTTCTGTGCGCGCCGGTTGTAAAGGAAGTCGCTCTAGGAAGTAATTGTTGCGTGACATTTGAATCAGGAGACATATCGTTTGAGTAAGTTTTAAAAATCTCGGTGCTAATACACGTCGTTAAATGTCTCGGATCTGCACTAGCAGTACCATCTTCGACTAAATTGTCAGTGTCAGTTGTCTTTAATCGAGATTTTTTAGGAACTTCCGTTTTAATTTCGTGCGTTCCGCTCTCCAAAATGGAGTGTAAGGTATTTTCTAGTGCTGGACCCTGAGATATCGCTGAGAAGCTATCGTATCCATGCGAAAGATTCTCAACTACAGCCACGTGATCTACGATCGTTTTAGACGATATACTCTCTAAGCTACTTTTCCTCGTTTGAGAAAATAAATTAATATTGCTGTCAATTGTATTTGGTTTGTAAAAGAAGTTACTAGCGGTATCAGTCGAGAGAAGTGTGACGCTACTGGGATCATCGTACGTATCAGGAACGGCTTTTCGGATCGGGCTGGAGAATCTTAGATCCGGGACGCTTTTTTGGATGGCGGTAGATTTGGTTAAGGGATACTCGACCACTTCCGAAAGGTCTTTCTCTATGCTGAAATCTCTACCAAAGCTTCTAATACCGGATGTCGAGCGATACGACTTAACTGGTGAACCAAAAGTACTTGAGTCATTTTTGGGGTCTTTAGAGGATGTTAAGGAATAAAGAGAAGCTCTCGGTTTAGAGGATTTTGATGCATGGGAATCATACAGCGGTATGTGAATAGAAGGAGTATGGACCTGATAGATGTAATCGCTGTCGGTTTTCAAGGATGAAAAACTCTGTTGGTGCGGTAATGACACAGTGTCTTCGTCCATCGCGTCGTCCACTTGTGCTTTGTAAGAGAACATTATCGAAGGTTGCGAAACTCTAAAACAGAAAGATTTCTAAAATGTATCAATCGCACATGACAGTGCAATTGTTTAAGACTCCTGTTCAATCACCACTGCTATCTCATATAGTGACGTTAGAAACGAATATACATAATAAAAATTTTTGCAGCATACATTAATATGAAAATATGTTTCAATACAACATTTACAATTGATGGAAGTAAAATACTGAAACTGTAAAATACTAAAAATTCTCTTCTTTTTTCAATAAAATTTATTTTTTAACAAAATTTTATATCAGCTAAAATTAAGCGTAAAAAATGATATAAGTTATGTTCACATCTGTAACAAACTGTTAAAATTAATAATGTGTGTGTATAGAAATAAATAAGATTTAATTTCTTCCTTAAACAAGAAGATAGTTTGCGATATATTTTACATTAAACCTATTTTATCAATATTTTATATTCTTTTTATATTTATATTAAGCTTATCGATTTATAAATGTTATTTTATAAAAAAATATTTGAATTCAAATGTAATTTGCAAGAATTTTTACTGTGTTTTCTTGCTTTTAATATCATAAGAGATAGTAGTACTGAGTTAATAAAAGCCTTAAGTTGCATATCGCTAAGTAGCAGCAACTTACCCGAAGAATTCCGACAGGAATGTATGATAAACCAAAGGGGTAAAAAGAGTTAAATATACTGCTGCAGTGAAGTCTACGATGCATAATCCCACTGGATTTTGCGTGTAGTTTAGAAAGCCTGCGCCAATCGACTGCACTAAGTCCAACGTTGCTAGTATTCCAGCGTAAACGTAAAAACTTTTCCGTGCTACAATAGAAAGCGTATCATAAACTCGTAATCAGTGATGGAACTATAATCTCTATGATAACAAGTACTTACTAGGAAGTGCTAGGCGGTCCCGCAACCGTGTCCATGGCAGTATTAATATGAAGAGATATATCTAAAATCGACACATCGATATATTTAGTAATATGTATCGATTTTCGCACTAGCAAGAAAATAACGTGTGCATAAGCCTACCGTTGTGAAAACGAGGCTACTGCAAAACCAAAACATCATGCCGCCATGACCGAATACGTAAAAGTCGCGGCTGGGAATATGAAACGTATCGTCCGGTAGGACCAACTCCAGTGTTCCTTGAGTGATTGTGAACGCCAGCGCTATGAAGGATGTAGCAAGTAATACTCTACGAATACTGGAGCGGCTGTCCAAATGACCTAAGAGAGCATGATTCGCACGTTAGCAAATAACTACACTACCGTTCAAAAGTCTGAAGCACTGTAATTTTTAAATAGAACCACAAAAGTATTTCAAATATCCATAAAACATACAGTAATAAAGTAATAGATTTAAGATATTCTACATTTACTAGTAAGAATCTTGAATGGCTTTTCCATCCAATAGATTTCAATCCTTGTAAATTCTTTCTGTGATATGTGTGTTATATTAAATAAAGCAATTGTAACAAATCATAGACGACCTGAAAGTAGCTGTCCAAAAATATTTTTTTTTACAGATATAATTATTTTATTAAAAATAAATTTTTTTATTTTTAACCGTATACACCATTGAAAATTTATTTGAAAGTTTGTTCGTTGAAGCGATATAAACATTCGTACATTTACGATGTTAATAAATAAAATTGATAAAACTTTTTTTTTTAATTTAGAGGTGCTCCAAACTTTTGAGCGGTTTCCCTCTTTCCTTTTTTTGCGAAAAGATTTTCTATACGCTACTCACCGAACGCTAGACCAAATATAACTACACTCATCTCGGTAGATAGTAGAAAAAATCTCACTGTAACCCATAGGACCTTGTCGGCCTTGCCGCCGACCGTCGCCGCCGCATTCACAGTCATCGACACGACGCAGCGCACCACTGATATAACTACATTACAAATGACCAGACCGTAAAACGCTAAAAATATTGGGCTACTCGTTGCACGTAACTTAAGCCTCGCTCTGTTGAATCGCATTGCGATGAACAGAAGAAACAATAGATTCGGTACCAGGATGATGATATCCCATATTCGCACTCTGTAGAACAAAATGCGGATAGATTATCCAGTCAGATCGGATGTCCCCAGATAAAAATCATAAGATCAAGATAATATCTAGTAAAAGTAATTTTGGGAAAAATCGTAATAATGCCATTCAATATATTTTTGACAATGATTTGTGATGGATTCTTGACAGAATAATGATTTTTAGGTGAATTTTTAACTTAAAAAAAAAATTACTTAAAGATTACTATCATATCAAGAATTCATTACAAAATTATTATCAAAAGTATATCGAATGATTATTCTGAAAAATTAGTTCTACTTTATATCATCTTATTATTATGATTTTGTGTTCTACCTGGGTTGTGCTACCACGACTGCAGCGATCACCTACCTGGAATCCTTGATCTCCTTGTACAAAATAAGCTTGCAGAAATGCTCCTCGTCGTCCATCGCCGTGCTCGCATTGGGAATCATAGTACTGCTCAGGTCATACGTATGCAGCCAACTTTCAGACACCTCCTCCCTCTCAGCGCCGTACATTTCCTGCTCTCTCAAGCGTTGCGCCGGATCCTCCTCCTATGGTTTCACTGACAGGAGAAACAAGGAAATATCAAACGATAACAAACATAGTCTATTAAGTTAATATCCATTTCAACCAATGTAATTTAACTTTATCTCGGTTTAATTTATTCTTTTCTTTTCCTACTTTTTAGAACCAGAGAAAAATAAAAAGTAAGACAGAGTCATAATTAAGTCATAATGATATTACGGGACGTTTATGACATTATTTGTCACTTAAAAATTAATTTACATAAGTGAGATCATGATAATTCTCTATGATAGTGTTATGATTTTTGTGTTCTATTTAGGATTCAATCAAGATAAAGTTAATCTATATTGAACATGAGAAATGTTCGGATAAAAGACTTGTGCGACTGACGACTCATATCAGATAAACTCGCGGTGTTTAAATTTTGCATTATCTCGAGCAATCTACAGCTGACACGAGAGAAATGAAAACATCATGAGACACTAGCCTAATTTATGACGTGCTCTTTGTTCCCTGATTTATGTTTTTTTTTACTTTTTACTCTTTTTGAATCTTATACTTTAGAAGAAAACTAGGGAATAGCTTTGGGAATAGCCTTCTAGGCTTACAATGCTAGCGAGCGCACTTACATGCAACCATTTCGTGGATTGATTGGAGATGTTATAGTATCACTAGTAAAGTCAACCTCCAGTTCAGGTAAGATCAATAAAAAATAAGAAAATGAAGTTCTTGATGCTTTTCAGTTCAAAAGACTGATACTTGATGTTTTCTAACAAGACACAGTGTAATACAATAATCATTTTATCTGTTTAACATTGAAAAATAACAAGTAATAATTTACTGTGTTAACTGTCTCTTGCTGGAAAAAGCAATCACAATATAATACATGGTGCTTTCCAGCAAGAGACACAATGGGTGCGTCCATTTAGTAACACAAGTTAATAAATGTTCTATCTTTATTACTCTGTGAATGTCAAAAAAGTTAGAATGATATTTGTATTGACTTGTGTCACTAAGTGGAAAGCACCAAGTATAACACATTTGTTTAATGGCAAACAAGGATACGATGATTCACTGTGTTACACTATGTCATCTGTGTCTCATTCTGAAAGGCAGCTGCAGTGTAACACAATGATCATTTCATCTTTGTTTAACATTGGTGAACAACAAGGCTATAACAATCACTATATTATCCGTATTATTCACTATGTCATCCGTGTCTCTTGCTGCACCCAGTTTCTTCGTTTTCTGTCGTCCAATATAAAAGTTGACGAACTTTGGAAAAGACAAAAAATATGTGACAAGAAACACGATTGTCGTTAAAATGTTCACAAAATAGAAAAAAGAATAGGAGGTAAAAAACAAAAAACAGAAAAATAAAAAACACTTTGTAGCTTAGGTTTAAAACGCTTAAAACAAAGCCAGTGTCGCGGGACAAACATAACCTAAAAGAGACGTTTCCAAAGCCGTCGATCTCCAAGGTGTTTCGAATTCGCGAGAGGCGCCCAGTTGGCGATGGACGACGAGATCGCTGTCGAGGAGTCGTTGAAGTCTTCCCCGGAGGCGAGGGCACGAGTCTTGCGGTCGATACCACGGCGAAAGAAATCGATAAATAGCTTGGCTATTGTGTAGCTGTCAAACGATCGCTCGAGGGGGGTCGGTCTCGCAAGAGCTCTCTCTCTCTAACCCGGCCGTAACTTGAGCTATTAATTAGATAAGGCGATCATTGTTAATTGGCTTACCGAGCACGAGGACGTCGTTCTCATTTTCTCCCTGGGAAATGGCGCGTTCGTTCCGGCTAGCCGAGGAAAACACTCGGTGCGTGACGGACGCGTCTCTCGCGAGTCTCCTTTCTGCCTTTCCAGTCTGCTCCGCTCTCGCTCGCTCTCTCTCTCTCTCTCTCCCTCTACAGTTCACCTTGCTTGATGTCTCTTTATCTCTCCCACGCTTGTCGTCTCCCTTCCTCTATCATTCCACGCTCTCGCGCACTTCAATCTTCAATCGGTATTCCGCTACGAGATCCCAGTGTTCATTCTACTGATCGGTGCTCGTTCTCCCCGTCGTTAATTAACCTTGGAAACGGAATAAGATATTGATAAATATAGCTCGACGTAGAATCTCTGTCATCGTATTTCCAATTAAATCCCACCTCGTAGAGTCACGCGACGCCAAAACAGAGAGTGGAGTATCGCTGCAGGAGGACGCTGCATCGTTCTGACGTGTTGACAGGTGACGCCACGATTCGCTCTCTGCCGCCGACCGCGTTGTTAAATTAATAATACACGATTGCACTCGATTGTTTTCAGCGTGCTTTTGTTTTCGTTAGTTTTTATTAAACAAGAAAATAGTTGCTTCGATTTGTTTAGAATCTCGCCCGTCGAGAGTCGTCAGTCGTCAGTTTGACATCTGTATAGGTTAGATGACGTTTGACAGTGCTGTAGCATGTGAAGTTAGACGATGGTTGCCGGAAATGCAAATCTGTTTCATGGGCGTATTCAAGATTTTATTCAAGGGGAGACAAAAATTTATTTTCACACAGCTTATTAAAATATTTATATTAATTAAGAGATATGACTATTTTAAAATTTTGAAAAAATCTACCTTTTCTTGCATTTTCTTAAAGTTTAAACTTTTTTTCAATAATTCTGGGAGTATTACTTGTATAAAAGATATATAAGATTGTAAGAAAAAGTTTCACAAGGAAATATTAATAAATATATATATATATA